ACTTGCCTTATGATTCTGTCTTTACTTAAACCAAAATCCCCGTTCCCCTCCAAGAAGACACCTGGGACAGATAATTAAAATGATTTTAATAAACAACTTCATTATAAAAAATGCTTTCAATTTGAACTTCATTTTGCAAGACAATGAAAGAGCTAATTTTAATGATTCCCTGTACATTTCCTAATGGCACTTAATATTTTTACAATGTAAAAACCTTGTTTACAGCCCCCAAAATACTCCGTTAAAAGAGGTCATTCGCTGTGTGTAAAAAGTGCTAGAATGTTTGCTTTTAGAAAAACAGTTGAGCTTTAACAATGGGAAGCTTCTGGCTTGGGCAGCTGCAGGAAAGGAGGTCAGGCACGAGATCTGTCGAGATCCAGCACAAGAATAGGCAGCATGAATGTCAGCCCCAGGGAAAGACACCGAATCTCTCCCATCAGTCCCAGGACTGAGAAATCTCGAGCTCTGTCCCTTACAATGGGATGTTTGGGGGTTCTGGATTGAACGCTGTGCTCTGGTCAGCCGCTCCTGCAGCCTGCGACAGAGGGCAGAGCTCGTGCTGGGGCAGCCCTGCCCGGGCGAGGGTTCTTGGTGTGACTCCTGGCTGCAGAGCCCACTCAGCAGCTTCTCCTCCAGCAGCAGTTTCAGAGCTCGACCGCTCTCGGGGGTGAGTTCTTCATGGCCCCCACAGGCTCCCTCTGCTCTCCCTCTCGCAACCACTCGGTTGTCAGACCACCTCGAAGGCAGGCATCTCCATTTTTGTTCAATATCCTTGTTTAAGGAAAATACTGGTACAAATGTTACAAAACAACCTTTCTAAAAATAGTTTCTAGATATTAGGGACCACCAGAGCAGGGGGAAAACCCACAAAGCAGTCAAGGCTGAGGCACGCAGTAGGGCAAGGAGAAGTCATAAACTCAAGACAGGCTTCTAGCAGGAGTTATGGATCTGCTTGCTCCCACTGCCAGCTCTCTGCTTGAACATGCAGGCTTGTGCACCATTTTCAGTCCCATCTTGAAGCGGGGTGTGCTGGTGAGTTCCATAAGCAGAAACTTACGTGTTACCTTCAAGTGCAAGACACTGAACTGCAGAGGAAAATGGGCAACTGGGGGCAGGTATGTGATCTGTTTGCCTGGATGCTAAACCAGCCAGGGACCACGTGCCGAGCGACAGATGCTGTAGCTGTTCCCATCCTGCAGGCTGCACACAGAGCTGCCCCTGATCATCTCGGTACGTTCTGCATGACAGCTGGTTATCCACTTGCATAGCAGTTTCAAAGAAAGACACAGTGTGTGAGATGGATGGTGAAGATGACTGTTAAAATGAGGGATGGTTGTTTTTAACAAGACACTTTCATGTTGAGGATTGTTCCCCTAACTGAAGAGCTGACCTATTTAATAGTAATTAAAAAAAATGGATTCCAAATTCCCTATTCTTCATCTTTCACAATGCCTTTATCTTTCCTTGTCACTGTGATCTCCTGATACAGACATGCCACCTCCATGTCATGTACATTCTTTGTGCCTGCTGATATTTAGGCACTGGTGGAAAGGACAACTGCAGACCTAGCTTCAACTACGAGCATGCAGCGAGGAAGATGCTTCAGTCTCTTCCTGCAAGCCTACCTGTGCGCATAAGAAGTAAAAAGTATTTTTGATAGGAAAGCCAAGCTAATCTTGTGGTGTAGATCTGTGAGAAGCAGAACATGATTTGTTTTCTGGGTATCATTTTCTGATCACAGGTTCAATTTTTGCTTGACCTGTTTCTGTGGCAGCCTAAAGCGTTTAGTGGCAAGTGGTCTGTGTAGTGGTGTGGAGATGGCTGCGGGTGCAGATCACGCAGGAGCCTGCTGAGGAAGCACTCTGGAAGAAAACTCCTTACCTGGAGGTACAGAACGGCTGAAACAGGTGGAAGGATTCCTAAGGGATCCCAGTTACTCACCAGAATGAAGCAAG